ATTGCCAAAATAATTATCTTAATTAACTAGCCATATGGCTCTGGGGCTGGGGTGCGCACGTCTTTACTCTGGATCTATATACACTTTGTAACATCCATCCAGAACACCTGGAGCACTCTGAGGAAGGTAGTTATTCAGAATAAGAGGTGTGGGCTGCAACTAGCACCACAGAGACTGCATGTTTCCCGCTGAGCTTAGTCAGTATTTAGGGTGTGTGCCTTCGGTGTGTGGGATATGTTGCGACCTGACAGACAGAACATTTTCTGTAAAAATTGCTTGGTGTGAATCATTTTCTGCTCCTCTGTCATGTGGGATTCATCAGGGATCAATTTTAGGGCCTTTGCTTTTTTCTTCTTCCTTTTTTTCCATTTATATCTACTTCCTGTAGGATCGATATTTAGAAAACACAGCATCTCCTCTAATTGCTACGCTGATGATTGCCAACTCTATGTGCCTTTAAGGCGAGTTGATGCATGGTCCGTTAAACCTCTTTTATCGTGTCTCGATGATCTGAAAGCTTGGATGGCCCTAAGAGGTACTTAATTTTGGAGTGGAGCTTGTTCGAGCCCTCCAGTTGACTTAGACCCCCTGACAATATACATAACTTCCACAGTTACAAACCTTGGTTTTAAGATGGACAGTGATTTTAAACTCGACAGTCAAATAAGGGTCACAGTCAAGTCTAGTTTTTATCATTTAAGAAAAATACCAAAGGTAAAATATATTCTTTCAAGACAAGAATCTGAAACAGTAATCCATGCTTTCATTATATCACAACTAGATTATGGTAATTCCCTTTATCTCTGTCAGTCTGTCCTCACTTAAACATCTGCAGCTGGCACAAAATGCTGCTGCACGTCTTTTAACAGGAACAGAGGGCACATCAGCCATCCTGGCTCCTCTCCACTGGCTGCCTGTGTATGTTAGAGTTCATTTTTAAATTATTTTGTTTGTTTTGAAGGTTTTAAACAGCCTTGCCCCACCTTATTTAACAGATCTTCTCCACCACTACACTCCCCCTTGGTCACTCAGGTCCACTGACCCATTCCCAAGAATAAGCAGAAACTTAGATGACACAGGGCCTTCTCTGTTAGTGCCCCTAAGTTATGGAACGCTCTGCCTTTGCACATTTGACAGGCCTCACTGTCCATTTTTAAAACCTGTCTGAAAACTCATTTCTACTCAATGGCCTTCAAACCAACTGAGACTTGATTTTACTTTATTTTTATTGGTATTGATTTTATCACTTCACCACTTGCTCTTGCCGAGATCGGACGCTTTCCCATCCCCTCCCTCTCCGCTTTGCTTTGCTGCTCTGTCTGTCTGTGAAACTGCTTCTGAGCCTCTCTTGCATATGTTCCGAACCATAATTATGGACTTGATTTGATCAGTTGGTCCCTCAACACAACTGATAACATTTCTTCAAAGAGAAGACAGGCTTTAGGCGAGCCGATTTGCCCTGTTGGCACGCACGCAGCTGAATATCTCATCGACTTGAAGACTTGATGATGTGTTTATCTCTGCTGCCATTTGTGAATTTTAAGGATGCATATTTAATTGGATTTATGATAACTGGTTCCTGCTTGGGCAGCACGGTGGCGCAATTGGTAGAGCTGCTGCCTCTCAGCGAGCAGGTCCTTGATTCAAACCCCGGTCCAGGGGCCTTTCTGGGTGGAGTTTGCATGTTCTCTCCGTGCATGCGTGGGTTTTCTCCGGGTGCTCCAGTTTCCTCCCACAGACCAAAAACATGCATGTTAGGCTGATTGGTAACTCTAAATTGTCCCTAGGTGTGAGTGAGAGTGTGAATGTTTGTTTGTCTCGTTTGTCTCTATGTGGCCCTGTGATGGACTTGCAACCCATCCAGGGTGTACCCCGCCCCTCGCACAGTGATTGCTGAACATGGGCACCAGCGACCCCTGTGACCCAAAATGGAATAAGCGGTTTAAGATAATGGATGGATGGATGGATGGTTCCTGCTTTTTGGATTCGGCTGGTTGCTGGTTTTATCAACAATCAAGGAAGTCGTCGACAGCAAATTTGGTCCCGATCACACTACTTGCCTTATGATGGCTTGGTTTGTGCCTTGAGTACCCAGACTCAAATGCTTTGGGCTGAATGGATCAGATCTCGGGGATTTTACTCAGTCATGTTCCATCGGTGTGGCCATGAAATTTGGACATTTCGGAACCGAGTGGACCAACATAGACTCAAGGTAGATGTCATTAAGTTCTGCCTGTCTCCAAAACAACTGTGTTTATCTGAATTTGGCTCCATTGGCTGGCCTTGAAGGTCATTTTATCTGAAGTTGCCTGGAGAACATGTGATCTGACACTCACCACCCTTTCCTTCCAACTGATAACCAGATGAAACCAGCTGAATAAACTTTGTGTCATCATTTCAGGACTCTTGGATTCTCATAGTCGTTATTCTTGGCCATTCCTCGACATACCTTAAGAATGTTTACGGATCTCACCGTAGGACATTGGCTGATTATCCCATTCTTATCAGAACTCTTACAGTGACCTTGAGAGCATCTATGAACATTGCTCACCGCTCTTGTCGTCCCCCTCTGCAGAATGTCTATGTCACAATGTGTTTGTGCGAGGTGTTTTTTTTAATATCAGTCTTTTCTTCTCATGCAGGAAAAAAAAAGTCTGATAGGGATTTTTTCGCCTCCAGTTCCTACATGTGTCCAGTTTCACTACTTTATGTCTGTCTAAACAGATCTAACTTATAAATGAGTCTTCTAGGCTCAATGTAACTTATCTGTCTAAATAAAGGTTGAATGAATGAATGAATCTGTTTAACTCGTCATTTTATTGTGTATTAAACTGAGTTTTTAGTTCATTGTGTGCTTGGCTTTGTATCTTTATTTTTTTATCTTTTATTTTGTTTTTAACTGATGTTCAGCACTTTGTTTCAGCTGTGGCTGGTGTCAACGCGCTTTATAAATAAAGTTGATAATGATGACGATTTAACAGTAACAGAAATTGGTATTTTCATAAAAAGTAAATTATATTTTGAATAAAGACGTGTGCCCTAGATAGCAGTTCTCTGCTCCACACAGAGGGCTGTGCTAGCAAGGGCATCCGGTGTAAAAATAATTGACATTTCTTCGTGGCGACTCCTAAAGAAGGGAACAGTTGAAAGAAGACAAAAAGTGAAGGAAAAAAAAAAAAAAAGCCGTCGTCCCTGGGTGGGCTCGAACCACCAACCTTTCGGTTAACAGCCGAACGCGCTAACCGATTGCGCCACAGAGACAAGACATACGTAGGAATAGGCATCTTTCCTCTTATAAATAGCATTTGTCCCTCTCTGTGCTTGGATTAAAGGTTTAGTGGTTGTCGCACCACTTGACAATATACGGAACCTGTCAACATCTGCCCTCACAATGGAACTCGGTCACATTCGGCTGTTAACCGGAAGGTTGGTGCTTCGAGCCCACGAGACCGAATAGTTTTCTTGGTTTTTACTTGAACAACATGAATAATATAAACAGCAGCTAAAGGAGCAGAGGATTGTGCGGCAGTCGAATTCGAGCTGAGCGTGCGCTGCTAGTTTACATAAATTATATTTAACCTGAAGACGTACGAGTAACAGCTTCTGGATCTTGAGGACTTCTAAAGTCCATCTGCAATAGATCTATACCGACAACTTGTTCTATTTCCTGACCTCGGGAATATAAAACGATAAGTGTGCCAGGAAATAACTTGTAAATCAGTAATTAATACAAAAATTTAGGGTCAATCGAGGGGATCGAACCCACGAATCTGAGATTTAAAAACTCACACTCTATCGACTAACCTTGCCACTGTGCAGAGGCTAGAAGCAGTTAAGGCATGACGTCGTATGTCAGCCCGGCTAGCTCAGTCGGTAGAGCATGAGACTCTTAATCTCAGCGTCGTGGGTTCGAGCCCCACGTTGGGCGCTAATAATTTTTGTTATTTCTTGATTTACAAATAATTTTCTTTTTATTCAATCATACCTTATGAAATGGTTTTGAATGTGTAAACACCATTTTAGAAGGGTTATATAAAAGTCCTGAAGTCTATTCACTACTTGTGTTCTTAAAATGAAACAAGAAGTAGGAAAAAAATATATGACGTTCAAATTTAACTTAAATTCATTTAAGACCATAACCTTTATCAGTTCTTACCCGAGAGATGAAACAATCCAATAATTCGGAAGTCGAATTTGATCTGTGCATGCACAGCTAATTCACATTCGTATTTTGCACTAATTTCAACACGTACGTCCAGTTTCTGGATTGTTGAATGATTTCAGTCCATCGCCTGACCCCCAGGAGACAAAAGAAAAATTCACCCCCCTCTGCTGGACAGCAATGATTTAACTACCTCTCCGAAGCAGCGCAGCAGCCCGGCTAGCTCAGTCGGTAGAGCATGAGACTCTTAATCTCAGGGTCGTGGGTTCGAGCCCCACGTTGGGCGCTAAATTTTTTTTGCTGCTTTTCATTCAGGTTAATTCCATTGAGACTTACTTAGTGATTTACAAGTAATTTTCTTTTTTGTATAGTCCTAACATATGAAATGGTTTTGAATGCGTAAACACCTAGTCTAATCGATACTTCTGTACTTCAAATGAAACAAGACGTGGAAAAAAAAAAAACGCTTTGATGACGTTCAAATTTAACTTAAATTCATTTAAGACCATAACCTTTATCAGTTCTTACCAGAGAGATGAAACAAACCCAAGTTTTCTACAAACGTGTAAGACCGTCAAAGGTACATAAAGCATCGCCAGATGGCGGTATTACATAACATGAAAGTTTATTCCTCCGTGGTTGAATGAGAAAAGCAGTGCGATCTGCTGTGAAAACCTGGTCTGTTCTCCTCCATAGACTGAAATAAACTGGGCTATTGCAAATAATAAATAGGTACAATATGTACCTTCAACAACAACAATATGTTTTGCCATTAGTGATAAGCAGCACTGAGTTGGAGGCAGAAGCCGAGGAGGCGTGGTTTGTCAGGTCACGTGATCGGAAATCATCCGCCAGAGACACAGTGCAGAAGAGGAAAGCGCAGATTTTGAGCGGGTGCTTCAGGAGGGGTCTGAGCGGCATTTTTCATTCAACAACACTTCCACAAAGACGAAACTTGTCTTTTGTTATCAGGCCAGTCGAAATTATCAAGCTAGGACGGAGTAAACTAAGGTGAGTTACGTTTCGGGGGGAACAGGAAGCAATAAATGCATTTTTTTGGACCGTTCGTGTTGAAGCGGCAACTTTTTAACGCGAAAACTTGACTTATTTAGGAGGAAAACTGTTTTCTTCAAAGCTAGAGTTAGCTAAGGGCTAGCAGCCCAGGTAATGTTAAGTTCAGTATGTTTTGATCGTTATATTGCATAGTTTACAGTACACACAGGCTATTCCTGCTCAACACTGAAGGCAACATTAATTCACGAGGTGGTGTAGCTTTAAAAGATTTATAACCCTTTTTTCCCCCCAGCTGCTTTTGTCAAACGCTCAAAACAAATGTACAACAATAGGGTAATACACTGTTTGGTGTTCTAAATTTAATCAATACTGAAAGTTTATTGCATGTTAGCATTGACCCCATCAGGTCCCTTGGGTCACATTGCTTTAAAGTTTGTGTTTACTCTCTTCTGTTTACCTGCTATACAAAGTTTATTGCGCACATGGTATATTGCTTTCCCACACAATAACACGTTGAAAGCAGGAAATGAATGCCTGCTGCAGCTCTCCCTGCCTTCTCTGCAGCTTTAATTTATGAAGGTGCAGAGTTAGGCTGGGGTGGGGGTTGACATTAACAAAGCTTGGCTAGGATCTGGATTTAAATGAGATGAAAATGCTACGCTGACTTTTTGTGAAATGTTTGTGTATGAACTGGTTATAATGTTCACTAATTGTTACTGTTGCTAAATAGAGATGTGACTTGATGAAAGTTTTAGATTTATAACAATTATATCCTGATGCATGCTCAATATATCCAGATGCATGCGTAATAATCCAAATGGAAACATTTAACAAAGTTGAGTCAGGTCCTCTGGATGGATTTAAAAGAAAAATAACTTGTTGAAACAGTTAATCTTTAATCCAAAATTGTCAGTCTGAGGAGCTGTATTCAGCTCAGTCTTATAAATAGCACCTTCTCATAGTGGATCAATCAAGTTTGTTGACATTCAAAACTAGCTGTTCACATGTTGAGGACCACCAGCCTAACAACTGATCGTTAGTGCCCTGATGGCCGCATGCTATTCACAAGGAGCTGAGCGAAGGTTGAATGAATGAATGATACTGGGGGCTGTTCACACGGCGCACATTTTGAGTAGGGGTGTAACCAGTACATCAATTTCAGTGTTTCCCCTACTGTTATACAAGGGGGGTGCCCCACCCGGTCAACAGAACTGAGCACCCCGCCTACCAAACCGAACTCCCCCACCCGGCACTGACATAGCATTAAGCTAGCTACGCAAAATACAGACTCTGTAGCTAAAAAGCTAAAGGCACCTCTTCCCTGATGCTGAACGCCCCCGCTCAAAAACTGTTGGTTCAAGCTGCGCTCAGACATGTCTCCGTCTCCCCCCCTCAACAAAAATCATGGATGAGATGAGCACCCCGACATGGCAAGTTAACTAGGTGAAACACTGAATTTAAATCGATATATTGATTAAATGATTAATGATTCAATTATATAGTGGCGAAAATAAAAAATCGATTCATATCGTAATCTTTAAAATACGCTTTTATTTTGAAATTCCTAAGGCACGTCTGTGTCACCATTTTCGTGCGCAGCTGCGCTCTGCAGCTGCGCTCTGCAGCCGCCTCAGCAACATGGCAGACGAGGCAGAAAACACAGATAATGAAATTCACTCTCCTGCTGGATTTAAATCAACACTGTGGAAATATTTTGAATTCCAACAGAAAGACTGCTCAACAGACAAAACTCATGTCATATGCAACAGGTGCTAGTGTGAGTTAAAATACTCAGGAAACACCACTAATTTGGCCGTTCACCTGAAGAAGAAAAATGGCATTGATAACCATGTTATGTAAGCTCAATATCTGTTTTTGTTTCTATATAACTGAAAGGTAATCAGGGCACTTTTAAGTTAACTAGTTTAAAAAATGCACTTCAACATGAGAAATGTGAGACTATAGTGAACAGGTTTTTATTTTTTCATTAATTAAGAAAAAATGTTTTTTTTAATTTTATTTACATGCCTGGTGCTAGGAATGTGCGATATGGCATAAAATTCATATCACGATATGTATTGTGAAGGTTGGCGATAACGATATATATCGCAATATGTTTTTTGTATAAAACTTGCAATGGGAATAAAAAAAGCATAGGGTGTCCTTTTGCCATCATTTATTTTGAATTAAGAAAATTCCACTACTAGGTCCAGAGAGTTTTTAAATAATAAGCAAATCAAGTATTAGGCTTCTTTCTTGTAGTGCAAAACAGTGCAAAATATATCAAATGTAGTTTTAGCCATATATTTAAAAAAAAAAAGAATATGTTGTTAACTCTTAACAGTTTCCAGTCTTACTTAAGAAATGAACATCAACAGAGCAGCATTTTACACTGAAACACTTCACCCTCCAAACCTCTAGTGGGCGCCTCCTTCCGCTTTAATGGAGAGCTGACACAGAATGAGTCTGTGGCTTTGACCAGAGGGTCTCGCAACACAGCGTTCTTATCACAGATCAGAGAGCAGGTTTCTCTAAAGCTGACCAACACTTACTTTAACTTTCGATGGAAAAAAAAAACTTTCGACGGAACACAGCGTTTTGCGCATGCGTCTGAATACGGCAAGCCGGCCGTAGTTAGCTTGTAGCTTCACAACTTAGCTCTCGAAGAAAAGACTTTACCACCACTTGCGCACAGTTTTCAACTAAAAAAAAGTAACGATTAAACTGACAACTCTGATTTTACATCAGACACAATGTTACTGCGGTTAGCCGGTAGAAGACAGATCTCTATCGTAGGTTAAATTTCTACCGTGTACCGTATATATCGCGCATTCCTACCTGGTGCCTGTAATAACGGAAATAAAACGGTTAAATCATATTTGAATTGTTTTTGTAAATTTATTTATATGTAAATGAGATGGGCATTTGATATAAGAATATATTGAGCGCAGACTTGTGAATCGAATAGAATCAAAATCGTATCGTGACAGACTTTGCGATATCGAGAAAAATCGTATTGTCATACAAACAAATCAATATAATATCGTATCGTGGTAAAGCTGGTGATTTACACGCCTAATTTTGAGTGAAACTGCACCTTTCTCTCTGCGGTTTGGCTTTTCCATTTACATGACACCAGACTTTCCCACCCATGCTGAATATGGAGGCTTTTCAACCCAGGTCTCAAGAGAGGAGGTCTTCAATAAATTGTCATCAGGTGTTAAGAACTACTGGTATATGTGTTGTGTACAATCAATGCTGTTGGTCTAATTAGAACAGACACTCCTTAAAGAGCCAATGGAAGTTTAAAATATATATATTTTTTGTAATGATAGATATAACTATCAAGAGTAGCAAACAGGTATTGTATCAAAGGGAGATGGATACACTAGCATACAACTGTGGTTGTATTTAATATCACACTGAGCATCTCTTGTGTGCTTAAACTGCATAGTGTACATATTCTAACACTTCTTTCAGCACTGGAGGCGTGCAAATCTGAATCCCATTAGTGATACTGTAATCACGGTGACACATTTAGGTGCCTAAAATGGTGCTGATATATTTGCACTGTTTAAAGTAGATCATCCTCTGAATTGGCAGTACTCTCAGAGGATGTGACACTGAAAGTTTTCTTGAGTTGCATTATTTTTGAGTTTCCCAGTACTCCATGTGCTTTCATCTCTAACCTCTGCTAAACTAAAGAGAGGAAGTTGAAACCACATGTTATGTTAAGATCCCCAGTCTTGGAGATGTAAGGGGTTCCTAAAAAAGGATAAGCAACTGGATGGGTTAGGATTTTTCCAAACATTTACTTTTTTTACTTGAATAATTTTCACACGTCTGGGAAAATGGAGGTTTCTTAACAGTTGCGCTCTGAGCTGAGATCAGGTGTTATCGTGACAAAAATTTAGAGAAACTAGTTTACCCTAATTAAATCTTGTCTGCTGAAGGCTGATTTGATTCGGTTGTTGGGGAAGCAGTGCTAAGAAGTCAACATGCATCGATCAGCAGAGCCAAAGAGAGGAAACAGAGCAAAACGTTTAGCTGCTAATTGCTAAATGTAAAAAAAAAAAAAAATAAGTCATACAGGTTTTATATTAAAATTAAAACCTCTCCTGGACTGTCCCTAAAATAGGACTTGAACATTTTATTGTGATTAGGGCTGCATGATATATCTAACAAAGCCACTGCAGTACCATCATGTGCAATATCAGTATAACGAAGGACTGCTTGGACTATAATAACAGTCTATATTATAGTCAAAGTACAACAGTAATCTCTACCTAGTATTCTTTTTATATTGTTGTCTTAAAACATAACATATAAATAGATTTTTTTAATTTGATTGTAAATAATAAAACTACAGAATTACTCATGATTAATTGAAATGCAATTGAGGAAAATGTATTTGAAATAATTCTAACACGTATATACAGGATTTAGAACGGCACGGTGGCTCAGTTGGTAGAGCTCTTGCTTCGAGAAGGTTAACGGATTGAATCCCGGCTGGGGGCCTGCCTGGGTGGAGTTTGCATGTTTTCTCCATGCATGTTTGTGTTTTCTCCACGTACTCCGGTTTCCTCCCACAGATCAAAAACATGCATGTTAGACTGATGGTAACTCTAAATGGTCTCTAGGTGTGAGTGAGAGAGTGGATGTTTGTCTCTATGTGTCCCTGTGATGGACTGGAGACCTGTCCAGGGTGTCCCTCGCACAATGACTGCTAGATATGGGCACCAGTGACCCCCGCGACCCAAAAAGGAAGAAGTCAGTATAATCAATCAATTTTATTTATAAAGCACCCTTCATACTAAAAGCACCTCAAAGTTCTGTACAGAATTATAAACAATAAACCCACAAAATAAAAGCAAACAACACACATAAAATAAAATTGTCTGGAAAATGTATAGACTGAACAGAAATGAACCAGTTCAGTCAATGGAGTTAAAAAGATGGGTCTTGAGCCTGCTCTTAAAACAATAACATTCTCTGCG